TCCCTCTGCCCTCTTGGACACCAGAGTATGTGTTTCCCAGACCTGTAGCTGTCTTAAAAGAAAACAGATCTTCTACTAGGAAGAAGTAAGCTTAGGGAGATCAATATGTCTGAAGGAACAGGGGTGGAAAAAACTCCAGAGAAAAATGTTTTAAGAAGGAAAGAAAAAAAACTCTGCGGTTTGCCATCATCCACATACTCTAGGGTAAAGAAGGAGCATTTTCCAAGTGAGGAAACATAGGCATACATGGCAGCACAGGCTAAAGGATGTGGCCCTGAGTTCAAAAGGATACAACCCTGAGAATACTCTTTCACTTTGTAATTACAAAGTGAACTGTAAGCTTATGATGATGAAATTATTCATAGGATTGAATTAACTTGTCCCCAGTGTCTTTCTGTCATCACAAGAAGACATATTTTTTCCATAACTCATCCCCAGGTTGCTTTAGCACTGGCTTTCTGGATACCAATGGATCATTGACCAGGTAGATATAACCTGTCTGACTCCAGCCATCTGTTTGTTAAATAACAAGGAGTCTGCTCAGACACCCCAAGCTGCCTTATGAACATAGCAGCAACAATTTAGCATTTTAGCTGAAGGGGGTGAGTTTGAAGAGTTATATAGGCATGCATTTCCTGACATTTTTCTCATCCTAATTTCTCCAGAGGGTCCCAGCAGTGGTCAATCCATGTATTTTCCAGAATCTGCTCCCAAACTCAAAGTCCAAAGATCCTGCATGTACAGAGGAATGTTGCTGTTCTGAAAGGGCAGAGATTTTTGAGAAACCCCTTTGTTCTGAAATCCTCTTAAAACCAATCCAAACCAGCTTCTTAGTGGTCCTCAGTGGCACGGTATAAACAAGATTTAAATCTCATATCTTTGCCATTGGCTCACTGCTTTCCCCACTGAAATGGCACCAGCTGGCCATTATTATTTCACACACTGGAGGGTTCAAATGTTCATCAGCTCTCCAATTCTGGGAGCTCTCATTACAAAGAGCAATAGAGGTTTCTGGGCTGTTTGGTCAAAAAACACACTTCATATATGAGCACAGCATAATAATGCGTATGCTGCCCAACGTTAAACAATTCACTGCATGCTATTGAATGCTTAAAAATAAAATGAGCCACTGTTATTTTAGATTATCTTGATCATTAAAGCCCTGCAGGCAGCAGGCATCACAGCAGTTAATAGTAACAGTATTTAACATCAAGGAGTAGGATATATTAAGTAAACATTAAGTTCAACCCATAAACAGTCTCTAGTATAAGCACAGCAATACATGAGGGTTCACAGATTTTATATAAAAGCAGGTTTGTGTCAATACTCACGTTTTGTTTGAAGGGAAACACTGGCTTGGGAGGATCACACAGCTGCAGGGCAGGAATCACAGCCAAATCATCCGTGTCACGGACCAAAGCTTTACCCACAGCCCACCCCGCCTGCCCTCTTGTGTGCACAAAAGTTTCTTCTGCTCTTATTTTTCACCTGGAAGAGTTCAAGGTTTAATCCCTGTTTCCCTTGATAAAACAGTTCCCAGTCAGCCATCACATTGTGATTTCTGTTTCAGCGTCTGTTTGTAGACACGGAATGGAATCCATTCTGCTGAAGGAAACATGCCTGTTTTTACTATTGGGATAGGGATTTCACCCTCTGCCCAAAAGCCTTTCCAGCTGGGCAGCCAGGCTTTCTCTTTACTCCCCTTCAGGTTGTTTCTCCCGGCCTTGCTGAGTCCATTCCCACACGAGTGGACTGTGGACCACAGCAAGTTCATGTGCTTTCTGCCACTAAGGGCCACCTTCCATATCTGCCAGCAAGACTCCATTCAGCCCCCATGCAGGTGTAAGCCTGTGTTTGCCCCCGTGCATGGGAAGGAAAGTCCTTCCCTTATGTATGTTTACAGTCATCTGGGCTTAAACACTCATTAAAGATAAGTACACACTCGCGTGTTTTGCTCTGAAACAACCCCAGAATGAGGAAAGTCGGAATTACGCAATATGGAAAGAATACTCTCCATTTATTAAGCGTGTCTTGACAGTACATTAAAAAAAATTCTGGAGCTTTCTTCTTGGCCAAATATTTCTCCCACTTCATACCATAGGTATGCTCCAGTTGTGCTGGGAGGAGAATGGCAATATTATGAGTCACTTCATATTGTAGGCAGGAAGTACCGTATTTTGTTCCAGAAAGAAATAGATCGTAGGCATAAGATTTAAAAGGCAGCTTTTTGTAAACTCCACTCCAGTATATTCTGGAGCACATTTTGATCGGTTGCACCATCCAGTCCCTCTCCAGCTACAGCCCTGGCTGTGCTTATTTTTAAATTTATAACTGTGCTGGGAATATAGCATGTCCAAATTAACTTACAGCGGCGAGTGCGGGAGTTAAATGAATTTTTTGTGTTTCTTTCCAGAGTGACTCTCATGGCAGTAATTGCTGCCACACACTTTTGCCATCAATTCAATGTTGTGTCTGTGCTGAAGCACTCAGGCACAGATGAAATTATGCTGTTCCTGTGTCTCTTAAGGGCCTATTAAAGTGACCCAAATCTTTTGGTTTGCCAGCCTATGGGAAGTGGGAATGATCATCCTCCTGCTTTGGTTTTGCATTAATTATACATGGTTGGCCAGCCAAGATTACCAGTAGCGGAAGGTTTAGATATAAGTTTTCTTTGGTAGAGCGGAAGTGAAAAGCAATTTAATTCCTGGTGTTTAACAGATGAGGCAAAGTCCCTAAGCTGTTTAGTACCAGCACGTTTCATTTGTAACAATCCAGCACTGTCCCCTCTGTGCGGGGTCAGGCACCAGCCAGCAGACCCAAACTGAAAACGTCAGGAGAGCACATGCAATTCCTAAAAAACATCCACTCTGGTAGAAACAAACCCTGGGAAACAGTACCCTGTCTCACAGCCCCTCTCATTAGGACTGGAGCATTTTTAAATGCAACTGCTTTGTCTCAAACCTGAAGGTATGTAGACTGTTAGTGATGTTTTACTCCAGAAGCGCCCTGAGCACCAAGTGCATTTTTCACTTCTGACAAGCAAAGGCCATGTGTCAGGGCTTTGTGAGCCACACCAGCCAGCCACGCATTCTAGGGCTTGTGTGTTAAAGGATAGCATCAGTATACCTGTCTGGAACACGCAGAAATCACGTAAAATGTTGGAGGTTCCTTTATATCCAAGCCTGGCAGGCAAAAATTATGATTCCCTTCTGCGATTCAGGTTTTATACCCGCGGTTTGTGTTTAACCAGCAAAGCCCCCGACCACCCTCCACACACCTCGGTGGCTGTTTCACATCGAAGAACCCAGGGCAGATAGAGCAGCACTGGGAGCCTCCAGCCTGCCTGGCCTTGGCTTCTGGCCAGAAATCCTTCCATCCTCCAACACCGACTCAGCCCCTTGTAAGCCCCGAGCTTTACTGGGATCAGCTGCACCTGATGCTTTTGGTTCAGGGCCGCATTCCTCGAGGGAACCTTGAATCCCTCCAAGGATCCGCTCCAAGCAGACTTTTTTTCTTCCTCTTAGGAAGCCAACAGTGCAGGATACCGGAGACTTCCTTCAGATGATATCCACGCAGATGAAGCCTTAAAACTGTTGGTTGTGTAGAAACAGAGCCAGACAGAGGCATTTTGCTTTGGGTGGCAGCATCCTCCAGAAACCACCTTCCCCATCAACACAGCAACCCACAAACCTCTGAGAAAGCCCCCAACTCCCATGGCTGCCAGCTGGGGCTGTGCAGGGCACCAGAGTTATCATGGAGAAGGACACTACAGAGTTAAAAAGACATGCTATCAGGGTGTAAACACATGTCCTGTAAGACCAGGTTGGAATTATTTCTCTCTATATCAAGTCAGTCTTACAAAGAATGCTCTTGAAATGGAAAATACCCAAAAGGTCACAAAAATAATGGAAGGTTTAGAAAATAAGATCTAGAGGAAAAAAATTTCAGCATTGCAGACATCAAAGCCAGGGACTGTGTGGAAAAATAATACAGAGCAGCAAGGTAACAGTCCAGAGGGATCAGGGAGGAATAGAGAATAGGAAGCTCAGGGCAAAAAGGAACCTCTTTTTTTAATGGAGTTAAATGACCGCCCAACAGCCCAAAGTTTAGAATATAGGTTTTTTTACTAAAATTCATAGTGTAACCTGTGGGCCAGTTGTAAAACCAAATAAACTGCCCGGTGAAATTCCTGTGTCACAGTCACTGCAAGTCCAGAGCAAGACTGGGCAGGGAGTGAATGCTCCTTCACATGGCCCAACAACACGTCTTCGCCTCCAAAGGTTTGTTTCATCCTGTTTATCTGGTAGAATAAAAATCTACAATAATATCCAAAAAAAATCCATTATACTCTCAACATACTGTGATGGTTGGAGACTGCACAGGCATAGTAAAACAATCTTCACAGCATCCTTCCATCCTGAATTCAGTGAAAGTCTCAAGGAGAAGGGCATGTCTGTGATATCCCATTTACTGTTGTTATAGCCTCTGGTTTTAAGTTTTAAACCTTATAACAGTGCAATAATGAGCTTTCCATTTCTTTGCTGACGTGGTTGATGCCTGCAGGTTATTGAGTTTAAAAGCCAAAACATACAGACAGAGAAAATTTGCTGCAGGGTTGAAAAAATACATAACCTGTTGGAAGGGTGGGATCAAATTAGCCTTTGTTCTCCCAAATTTCACATAAACAAGCATGCTGATATATCTCCCAGTACAAGGCAAGCAAAATCAAGAGTGCCTGTTTGAATTGGAATATCACTAGTCCATGGTGGGTGGCAGGAACATATGTGCAAGTTATAAGGCTTGAAATTTAGGACTTTGCTCCATAAAATGCCCACGTGGATCAGATGAGAGATTGCCACTCATTGACTGCAAGGCTGGGGACCAGGTCAGATCCTGACAGTCTGAGCCACCCAAGGCAGGATTTGCCTGTCCTGGGACTGCAGTGGCATACACAGTCAGTATGTGCATCAGAAATTGGTGTAGAGATAACTTTAGTCTTCAGCAGTATTATTTGCCAGTGAATGGTTCTCAACAATTATGCAGCAACAACTTGTAGAGACTGATGCAAAATAAAACCACAACAATAGTATAAAACAAGTAATTTCCGAATCCTGCAGTAGATAATACTTTATGATCCATGAAGTAGCTGTAATGAAAAAAAAGAGAGCAGATTAAAGTTTTTTTCTTTTTAAATTGTGATAATTATCCATATCACTGCAATATAACCATATAATTATACATATTGTGCCTTTATAAGACTTCTAGTGTCATTTCTCACTCATTCAAAGCAGCTGTTAGATGATGCTGGGAAAAAGTCCACATTGTCTGCTGTATTGCCTGCCTCCTCCCTCTCTGCTTTTGTGTTTTCTTCCTCTCTCCTCCTCCTCCTCCTCCTCCCAGTGAATTTCAGAGCTATAAAATATCACTGCCAGCCTCAAACTGTGGAAACAGGGAGCAATTCCACCAAAGTCAGGGGGGGAATCTCTTCAAACAGCAAGGGAGTCTCACAGTCAGAGAAGGGGTCAAAGCCAGCTCATGACAAGTGACCTGGGGACTAAGTCCAGTCATGGCAGTGGGCACAGGAAAGAGCTACTAAATGCTGGTGAGGAGAGTGCTGTAAAGCTGCACAGTCCACCTGAAAGTCTTTCATATGTGTACGTGACTGCATGTGTTTGTAAATACATGTCTATAAAAAACCCATTAATTTTAGAACACTAATTACTGGTGCAAATGAGTCCCCTAAGGACATTAACAAAGTACAAGGATAACCAGATCTGTAGTAGAGCCTGTGGCAGACTCTGTTTTCCTTATTTGGGAGGAAATAGAGCATATCTTTGTGAGATGTTATATATGTGCAAAATATTAGAGCCTGAATTACCTGTCAACACCTCTGGGATGTATCTGTCATCTACCTTTTTCCTGTCATCTGCCATTTCCTATTTCCAATGGCTTGTCCTGAACTGACAATATGCAGTCAGGAGGCTTCCTGGGATCTTATTTCTACCCTATCCCTTCTCATGGATATGCCTGTAGTTATCTTCAAGCCTCACATAATTCTCTGTGGAGAACTATGTTGTGTGAGCTGAGAGCTTCCTGTTAAAGGTTACTAGTCAAAGGAACAAGGACAAAAGGTAATAATTAAATCTAAAGAGAAAGGGAAGAGAGAGAGAGAAACACAAGTAAACTACAACAACTTCCACCCCTTCATGTAAAATTATGTGTAAACCTTCTCCTCTGTGAAAAACAATTTATATCTAAATATATATGGCCAGATGGGTATGGTAACTCAGTGCTGCTTGAGTCACAGAATCATTGGAAAAAATATTATTAAAGCAGGCCCTTCCCAAGATATGCAAGGACTGGTTTCTGATTTTGGTAGTTGTTTTAAATGATGTTATGTTTTGCTTGATAATAGAGAATCAAAAGCACAGTTTCCAGAACAGCATTGACCTCTTAGCCAAAATAATGGAAAATTTTCAAAAAGCACCAGGAGAGCACAGAAAAGCTCATCACAATGCTTTTGCTGTCATCACTCACTCTGTTTTCACGGGGACAGCTGAGGGCTGTTCCACCAGAGGTGGAATTTCAATTAAGGACATAACATTTTAGTAAGTAGAGACTGTAAGAACAAACTTGTGGAAGCAGAACAACCATATTAACCGTATTTATGGATTTGCATTCAGACTGTGCCTGGAAAGGACAATGCAGTCTCTTTCATTTAGTAAGGAAGGCTGGGTACAACGGAGCCATTCTCCTAAGTGTGTTGTATACAGTGGAGGCATTGGCTGGTTTTCATGTTGTGCAGAGTTCAGCCTCGCTGCTCTCAGCTGATGGCATCCCCATTGTGTTCCAGATGCTGCACACACACATCTGTGTGCAGCCAACAGTCCAGTCACCTCTTTCCTGAAGTAAAAATGAGTCTTTGGTTTCTGCAGAACTTAGTACTTCTGAAAGCTTCTTCCCGAAGTGTTCTGTTTTTCCTTTCCCCTCCTTACTTAGGCAATATATGTGAGATGAACAACATCTCTCTGAAGCCAGGAAAGTATCCCAGCCAACAAGATCAGCTGCAATCATCCTTGTTCGTCATTACGTGCAGCTCATGAGCTCGTCTTCAGAGCAAGGGCAAGTTCTGCCAGGGTGATCTAAGAGTTCAAAGCAGTGCCCTGAACTTTGGCTGTCACTTGTTGTTGGATCACAGCAGCCATGTGCCATTTGAGAGGTGATGGAGCCACAGAAGGGGCATCAGCCCATATCAGGCTGGTGCCTAATGAGTGTGAAGCTCCCATGATTTATTAATGGGACAGAAGTCCAAATGACCATTTTCTTCTCGTTTGGCTGATCTCTAACACCAACTTAAACCACTGACAAGGCTCATGGTTTTTCTTTTTCATGTTCAAAGTAACATCTCTTAAGCCTTTGGGCCAGTTATCCTAAAGAAGGATTCCCAGACCAGAGCACAGTGGAGTACAGAGAGGGTGAACACAAGAACCCACTCTGCTCAGTGATTTTACTTTTAAAGGTGACAGTTAACCTTCATTCCCAGGCTGTTGTTACCCTTCTGGTTGCATATGTTTTAAATTAGAGTTCGTGTCAAATTCAGATTAGGAAGAGGGTCTAAAAAGCCAGTTCCTGATTTCAATACCATGAACATGACTTTTCCATTGACTCACTGGGATTCAACCCAAAAGAGACATCAGAAATGCTGAAACATCAAAGAAAGAAAACATAACCAAAGAAATAGCGCTCAGGCATCTACACAAAAGTCACTATGGCAGGAGAAGACTCTTGAGTGGGCTGAATAACACTAAGTTTGGTAGCAAAGTTGATGGAATTTCTCTACATTTTTAAGCTTACACAGCAATAGAAAAAAGAAACTCAGCCTTTGAGTGTACTTACCAGATTGTCCCACTATTTGCTGTCATGTAAGATTTTCAAGTCTCATGTTGAAGCATGACCTTGGGAAGCCTGGATGGGAGGAGATCTTTTAGGAACAGACACCTCTTGAGAGCTCAGCTCCTACGTGTATCACTGACAGACAAACAGCCTCCTTGAAAGGACAAACTTCTCAGGCATTTTCTAGCAGCAGAGTCTTTAAGAAAGACAGAAGTGATGTGTTCTCACTTAAAATTCACTGTCACAAATTTTACAGCAACTATGTTCACTCAGTTCTCACTACTGCCGTGAAAAAAATTTGGGTGCACACACACAACCCAGGTCCTAATACCTGAAACTGAGTATTCAACTAGAATTTTAGCACCTGCTCATTTGTCATCGAAAAGATTTAAGTGAAAATCAAGATTCACTTAAACATAATTTTGTTTGTAGGCAATTTAGTTGATTTTGCATTCTGCGGGAATCACTGCATATGCAACATGCCCATGCAAACCACATGGATCTCTCTATTTCCATGCAAGGCTAGTCTAATCCTTCAACTGAGTGGTGTCTAGTTGGTTGAAGATAAGGGATTTACCTGAGCAGCTGTGGGAAAAATTCAGGCCCTCATGATTGGTAACAAGGTAAGACTTAACAGGACAGAATAGTGTAAATGTTTAGGGAGAAAAAATGGAAAATCAGAAAGATTTAGGCAATGCTTCTTAAATAATAAAGTGACTTTAGAGTTTCAAAAGAGCCTGTACTTCACTTATGATGTACAGTTCCCAGTAAGAACTAGGTGGCTTTATGCTCTTTGATCATTCATCTGCCTTTCAAACCCCATTGCTAAGACCTTGTCCAGCAAAAAACTCAAGGCCAATAGCTGACTTAAAAACATGTGTGTCCTCTCCCAGCAACCAGAGAGGCTCTGCAGGAACACACGTGTCTGCCCACACACATCCAACTACAAGATTAGGGCCAAAGTTTTTATCAGTGGAACCTCACCAGGAATTTTTCTAGATCTTGTTTGCGCAAATGTCAACACTGCCTTCTAAGCTTTTCCTCAGTCTGACAGCAAGTGACGTTTAAAGGGACAAAAGATCTTTTCACACACAGAGCAGCATAGCCAGTCACGCAACTGTGAAGTCTGTAGCGTAACCACACAAGTCCAGAGACACAAGCACCATATCCACTTGGATAAATGCTATCATCTCTTCAGGCTTCTGCATGGAAAGCACGTGCCTGTCAGATACATTTCCCTGTCTCTTAACTCTCCTGTCAGCACAACTGTCAAATGTTTTCAAGTCCACACGTGTAATAACCTTCCTAAGAATAATTTTAAAGTTTATGCCCATGGAAGCAGTTTGATGGTGAGGTGGATGTGGGCAGCACTCACAACCTGTGCTACAGGAGGAGGAAAAAGTCATACGTCTTCCATCCAGGGCCAAAAGATGTTCTTCCTTCCTTCTGAGGTGTGGATGAAAGATATCATAGAATAATAGAATGACTTGGGTGGAAACAGAACTTAAAGATCATCTAGTTCCAACTTCCTCACGATAGGCAGGGACACCTTCCACTAGACCAGGTTACTCAGAGATGCATTCAACCTAGCCTTGAACACTTCCAGGGATGGGGCATCCACAACTGCTCTGGGCTATATTGCACTAGCCACAGCCCTCAACAGAACTGATTAAAACCAGGCTTCCTTTTTTTCTCCCTATAATTTTATTCAATTCAATATTTTCCAAAGAAACACCTAAAGCTCCTCCTTTAGACAAAAGTAATCCGTTTCACCTTTCAAATACAGCACTCCCTTTTAGAGACTTGAAAAGAAAATTTCTTGGGAAATAGTCATTCTTTTAAAAACACACATTATAAAAAGCCAGCATAAGACACAGAGAAATATTATATTTTTTTCAGCATTCGTCGCTGAGTTAGTTTTGGCACTCGGGGCACCTTGTTGGTCAGAGGGATGAACTTTATGATCCCTTCCAACCCAAATCATTATTTGATTCTGTGATTCCATGATCCTATGACTTCAGAAGATACATTACTTGAAGTGGACTGTATCAGACCAAACCATGAGCACAGTGACCACCTCCCTGCTTTCCTCTCCCCATTGTACACAGCACAGCCGGGGAAGCCCCACAATTATTCAGACCACTTCAACCCTGAGCTGCAGCGACAAACAGCAAATCTGACTCATTGTTGATGTGCCTCCACTGCCGAGTGTGCCTAATGAGATGATGCTTTATGGGTATTTCCTTAGCACTGTAATATGAGTCCTACAGATCCCCGTGCTGGAAATTAGCCCGCTTGTTACCTAAACACAAGTCTTGGTGCTGCAAGCCAGCATGGAGCAGCGGTGGTTGGAATAGTCTGGGGTTTTGTGGGGTGAGCATGCAGCGCGTGAATAAGTGTGTCAGGGCAGAACTTTGCTCCATGTCAGTGTGCATGGGGAGGATGTGATGCGTGAGCAGAGCCCATCTCTGTTTCCATCTGCTCCCTCCGGTCCCGCTGCCGCACTGACTCAGAGGCAGGAAGTCTCTCCCCCAGTGGGGAGGGTGTAAGCCAGGGGAGCATGAACCACCAGGGCAAGATTAACGCCAGTGATGACCCTGCAGGGAATTTGAAAGGGGGAAATGAGACACCAGCATTTGAGGAGGAACCTTCTCAGAAGGGATTTATCAGGCCTTTCCTGGTAATGTTTTGAACCGGGAATAAACCCAGTGGAAGTGTGTCCCCCTCCTCCTTGTACCCAGATGGTAAGATCTGTCCTTTTGAGCAAGGACCCCAGTGGTGGGATCAGGGTCAGCCCCTTTCCCTGGCCGAGAGAAAGATGATCTGCAAGTCACAATGATGCAAAATTCTTGGAAAAAAAAACCGCCACCACCTCAGGGAAACAACTGGCCTCTGGCCCTGGGCTGCCTTCACACAGACACATCACAGCTTCTCTCTGTGCAGCTGCTTTGGATTCCCAGCAAGCACCAGCCACGGCCAGGGGCCAACAGCAAAACTCAAGAATTAAATGATGCTTTTGACTCTTCATTGACCCGTGGAGTTGGATGATTTTCTAATAACCAGATTAGAGGTGGGTTGCCTTTTTACATTAGGCAGGGAGAAAGACACCACAGTGGGAGTTTCTTAAAAACTGTGTGTAGAAACCGGGACCAGAATATCTAACCAGCCTGTCCAGACACAGAGGGGAGCAGCAGGCTCCTGCTCTTCAGGCAGAACTGCTGCATAAATCTTTAGGATGGCAAAGGTATTTCAGTATTTCGGGCGAGGTGTTGTTCCTTCCCGGTGGCACAGGCAGCACCACCTTGCAGACACCTCCCTGTATGTGGACTAGAGACAGATTTAAAAACAGCCAGAAAAGACAGAAGTATGGCAAGCTGAAAGGGAAATTACTCAGGAATATCCACCAAGCAGCAGTGCTTGCCATCTGAGCCTCAGCAGAGAAGTGTACCAGCTTGCATCAGACCAGAATCATCACTGACTGTTAAATTGTCAAAAATAGCTCTGTGCACCTCAGACAGGGAGACAGCTCCATCCATCCCATTCCCATGCCAGGCTTCTGCCTCACATACCTCTGTCACAGAGCTATGGCTCTGTCGGGTTCAGGCAGAGGGATTTCCACCACTGCTTCTGATTCACGCTTCTTGTGCTGGTTTTAAAAGCGACGCCATGTGGTGCAGTTACACCAACTGGCAGGGGGAAATCCTGCAATGCAAGAAAGCTGTAATCCTGCCTGTGCTCTCTCTTTTCCATTCTCCTTCAAATCCTGGTTCTGGTTTAAAAAGCATCTCTAATCCTTACATATTTCAACAGTCACTAAGCCGGTTACAGTACATGGCTACCACTGTCTTCAATCTAATTTGTCTCCAAGGATGAAACAAGACAGGAAGTCATTCCCAGTCTTCTGTCTCCAAACGGTCACTCTCCAGGAAGACCAGGAAGCCTTTAAATCTTGACATATTTATATTCACTGAAAGAGCTGCTCTTTTACTCTGGTGCCTCTCTAAGAACCATAGCAAGCTGAAAGGGTGGTCAGACACTGAAATAGGCTGCCAGGAAGTGTTGCAGTCACCATTATTAGAAGTGTTCAAAAGACCTGTGGATGTGGCACTTAGGGACATGGGTTAGCGGTAACATGGCAGTGACAGGTTAACAGTTGGACTCAAGGATTTCAGTGGCTTTTTCCAACCTTAATTGTTCTATGATTCTATGAAATTCAGCCCTGTTACTGTGGTGTAAAAGTGTGTTTAAAGCTAGAGAAAACCCTGTTCTCCATGGATATTTTCAGTCTTATTGAATAAAGTAGGTATAGCTCCCAGATACTACAGCTTACTTTTTTGCTATGATGATAAAAGCTTTTCAAAGAAACAACAGAGTGGCTGTATACCAGAGGGGAAAGAAATGAACAGCAAGTTCAGTTTGCATGGTAGGAGAGGGCAGCAATTGCAAAGCATCTATTGCAGCACAGGTTTGGTATATGCAGGAGATCAAATTTTTAGAAACAGGAGCTATGAGCATATGGGAAAAAAAAATAAAAATAGCTGAAACCACAGTTGTTCAAACAAATGGGCTAATTGCAGCCTTGGTTACACACATGTGCAGGTGCAGACTGATCTCAGCCAGCATCTGTGGAAAATGCCACTTGGGAAAGGAGCACATCACATGAAAGCAAATGCTATGCGTGCACAGAGCTTGCTGCTGGCAAACTGCACTGGGAAAGGGTCCTCTGCAGTCTCCACTGCATCACACAGTCCTTGGAAGGGCTATGTAAAGTGTCCATATTCCATCAGTGCTGGGTCAGTTCAGGCGGAGGCAGGGCTGTTTCCCTGACCTGCAGAGTGGCTCTGGATGATGGAGAGCCCTGGTGGGGGGCTGCTGTGAGAGCTGGCACAGGGGCATCACTGCAGGGAGTTGAGGGGCTGTAAGGCTGAGAGCTGAGACTGGAATAAACACGCTACACCAAGCAGCACTTTCCTCACCTCCTGCTCCCAGTTCCCATGCAGTCAAGATTGCACAGCTCTTTCCTTGCCTCTACTCCCTGCTTGGTTGTGTAACATCTACAGCCAGCATGTAGACACCCTTTTATACATAGGTTTTGTCCTCCTTCTTTGATGTAGGAGCTCTGGATAGCCCTGGGATCAAAGAAAAAAACAGACAGATAAAGTGCACTAAGTGAAAGCAGCTGAGTTTATTCTACCTTCTGCATTTTACTTTTACCCTGCCTCCTTGTGAGAAATGCTGGGTGGAACAAGAGTAGAAAAGCACAGGCAGAAGGAAAATAGAAAAGGTGTTTTGCTTAGAGCACTAAAAATATTAGCAATTTAAACAAAAATTGTTCTTTTTGTTATTCTTTAGCAGTGTCTTCTGGCTTTCGGACACAGCTATGTGGTCCACTCTTGCTTCCTGTTCCCTTCCACTTTGTTTCACCGCAAGCCATAACTGAGCACACGATGTGGTCACTAACTGCAATGAGTTTCCCAGTGCATCAGAGCATTACCAGGCAGCTGGGCAGACAGATTTACTCATCCCAGATGTACAGGGTGCTGCCTTCACATCATGTGGGCAGCATCAGAGAGGGTTTAAAACCAGCAGCAACCTCCCCCTTGAATTTCTCTCCCGATGCAGCTCGGTGGCAGCTTTCCTTATGTGGATGGGTTAGAAGGCAGCCAAAGAGATATCCTTAAAGATTCCAGCCTGTGGCAGCAGCAAAGACCTCCAAAGTCCAGTTTGGTGTTGATAGATGAGAGCCCTGGCCCCACTATAACTCATGCAACTCTGAGTTCCCATCCCTGGAGCTCTGCTGAACCAGTGCTCGACCCCAGAGCTTTCTCACACCACTGGCATGAGTCAGAGGGTGCAGCACAAAATGCCTAAACCCACCCAAGAATCACAGAATCATAGAATGGTTTGGATGTGACTTTAAAGATGACCTAGTTTTGACCCCCCTGCCACGGGGGAGGCAATTTCCACTAGACCAGGTTGCTCAAAGCCCCATCCAGCCTGGCCTTGAACACTTCCAGTGATGGGCCATCCAAAATTTCTTTGGACAGCCTGTTCCAGTGCCCCACCACCCTAAGAATATCACAGCTTGCTTTACCTGCCTTGTTTTTACCTGTTTTTATCATGAGAATATTTAGGGTCAGGTAATATGTGCTCATTCACTGCTGTAGGGAAATGACCACATGCACCTGCACATGCTTAGCCACAGGCCAGTCTGGTTTGCTGTCATTCCAATAACTCCTGGTTTTTCACTGGGCTTGGTTTAAAATGATGCAGACTATTTTTTTCACTCCATTTTTGTGACACCAAAGCAGGGAGTTGAGAGTTTCTCAGTCTTTTCTAAATCTGTTGCTATGAGAATGCACAAAAATGCTCCAAATCCTTTTAAATGAGAGAAAAAAAATCACACCATTTGACTTTTCTGCCAGCAGAAGAGTCCATTTCAGCTAGCTCAGAGGCATCTGAGTTAATATCTATTTCACTTAATCTGGCAGCCTGATTTCTTTGAAGATGCACTTTCTGAACGAATTTCTGTGTGCTTGTCAGACGTTGTTCTGACAGGGCAGAAACTGGGAGAAAACATTATCTGATGAGTTCAGCTCTGGACAAAGTCAGCACGAGACCCTGAGGTGTCTTTTAATACAAGCATCAGCACTGTTTCACTAAAAACCAATGGAAAATTACAGAATGCCTGAAAACTCAGCAACAACCCAGTCACTGCAGAGAAACAAGCCCTGCCAGGCAGCTGCAGCCGAGGTGAGCCCTTGCCCAGCTGATGTTCAACATCAATTCCCAGCAGCAGTGATGTTTCACCACTCTAATCATGTTGTCAGGGAAATCAGTTCAAATAAAATACTGCAGGGACTCCCGCTTTCCTAAAGTACACTTGGGCAATGGATCCTGTTCCCTGCTGCTCCATGCACCTGCAAGAGCCAAAGTGTCCACGAAATGAGTAGACATGGCACCTCACCATATGGTTTAGTGGGTGTGATGGTATTGGTCGAAGGATGGACTTGGAGGTCTTTTCCAGCCTTAATGATTCTATGATTCCATGATTCTGTGATCTGAGACTGTCCCGCTGGGATGAGCAGGATGCAATGTCCAGAATCTGAGGCCACACCTTCAGTGCTGTGCCCAGTTCTGGGCCCCTCAATTCAGGAAAGACACTGAGGTGCTAGAGAGAGTCCAAAGAAGGGCAACGAAGCTGGGGTAGGATCTGGAACACAAGTCTCATGAGGAGAGGCTGAGGGAGCTGGGGTTGTTCAGCCTGGAGAAGAGGAGGCCCAGGGGAGACCTTACTGCTCTCTACAACTGCCTGAAAGGAGTGTGTAGCCATGTGGGGGTTGGTCTCTTGTCCCCGGCAACAAGTGATAGGACAAGAGGACACAGTCTTAAGCTGCGCCAGCAGAGGTTTAGGTTGGACATCAGGAGGAATTTCTTCACAGAAGTGGTGATTAAGCATTAGAACAGCCTGCTCAGGGGTGTGGTGGAGTCACTGTCCCTGGAGGCGTTGAAGGAAAGGCTGGACGTGGCACTTATGACAGGATGGTGTTGGGCCACAGGTTGGACTCGATGATCTCAGAGGTCTTTTCCGACCTATTTGATTCTGTGATCCTGTGATCACCCAGCGGGATGTGCTGCCTGCAACAATGGCCAGACCCAGTCTCTGTGCTGAGATGAAGCCGCAGACTAAGGCTCAGGGTTTTTTACTCCATCTGCCCGGCACGGCCCTGAAGAGCCACATCCCCTCTGTGCACCTTGTCTCCCTTGCCGCAAAACAGGAAATTTCCTTTCTCCACCTTCATTGTTGGCGTGCTTGCTCTGCAGGGCCAGGGTGGCCCCTCTCCGGCTGTTTGCACCGGCCTAGTACAATGCAGTCATCATCCGAGGTGTTGCCACTGTAAAAATAGAAACGGAGAACAATGTCTCTCTTAAAAACAAGGCTCTTCATGTATCTGATCGTGTAAAATACGCTGCTTAAAATCCGTTCACCGTGCTAAGCAGTAACTCAAATCAAAGGCAAAATTCACATCATACTTGGTAATCAATAGCGGGAAGTAGCTCTGGGTTTTCTACCTTGATTCATTTCTCCTTTATTTGCAATTTTCTGTGATTTTTCTTCAAAGTCCCTTCCCTCTGAAGTCAGATGTGATCCCCATTAGTGGAACTTTTATGTAGCTGAAGAAGTGTGTCAACATTTTCTAATATAGATTAAAGCTCCAGAAAAAAAGGGGGAATGAATTGTAGGGCTTTTGGGAGAGCAGTGGGAAACAGAAAAAATTGTCAGGTATGATGTTTAGATGCTTTCTCAGAATACTTAAGAGTGTATTTCACTCAATCCCTAAGCAAATACAGCCTTAAATAAAGCTAGGTGGAAAATAAATAATTTTTCTGCCAGGTAAAAGAATAATTTGGAGAAATGCCCAATTTCATATAGGCTAACATTTTGATTTTTTTATTGAGCTGCCTGCTGCTACCCTGTATTTTGCTGATTATGTTCCTTTTCCACCTAAGGAAAGAAATGAAACGTTATAAAAAATAAGCATTTCATCATAAATTTCTGCTCTCTGCACCTATTGACCATTGCATTTTAAGATCATAACATTTTAACAGCAATTTACATTAAAACATACGCTGCTTGTCTCAAAATTAGTTCACTTGTTTTTCCAGCTACATGATTGATGTTTCTCACAACTGAAAGTAACTCCTCTGAGCTCAGCAGAGCTGCCTCTGATGTTCACAAGGTGGAAGAGAAGGTGAATTAAACCTAATAAATCTTTTCAAGAGTAAATACAGTCTAAATGGAGTTACAGCTAACAGAGAGTGCAAGACATTCCTGGAAATACAGCTGAATTAGAACATTTGATTCTAAAAATTGCATTCAAGCATGGAATTATTAACAGAAAAGTTAAATTAATTAACCCGAACCTAAAAGTTTAAAAAGCTTTGGTTAGAGCAGAAAGCCGTCACACATTCCTGCTGCTTGGAAAAGCTACGTAATTCAGAATCCATTTTCACTGTAGATGGGAATTAAAGGTTAAAAATTTAAAAGTTTTCATAAGAACAACGTTTCTATATATAAAAAGGAGTAACTGCCATGGCAGGGAAACAGCTTTAGATAAACTGGTTCAGGTCTTTTTAACAGAGGGAACAGTTCAGATCAGGGTCAATCAATTCACACCATTTCACCTCATTTCTGCCAGTGGAAACATCTGAACTCTTCTGTTGAAAGTGATAGTTTCCCATGGAAACTTCTGATTCTGTAGAAATCACATTTCCTAGCTGAAAATTCCTCTCCAGCCCTACACAGGAATTTGGATTTATTTTTTTCCTGTCCAAAGGAAAAATCCTCTGGCCACGGCTCAACCGGCCACTTCAGCATCTCTTCTGTACACCCAGGGCAGGGCTGCAGCCAAGGTGCAGCTTCTTGCTCTCCCAGGAGGAGGCTGCAAGACCCAGTTCTGTGCTGGAAGGGCCACCAAACTATCCCTAGTGGTAGAAATTACCTTTCTGAGGTCATGGGATATCACATTCTGCTTCATGTGAGTGCAACCATGCTTGAATAAAGGATAAGGGTATCCAATGCTCAGGTTTGCTCTCACCTCTCCCTTTCACAGGCACACACACAAACACGCAGAGGGTTAAGACCAGGCACTTCATCCATCTTCATCTGTTGCTTTTCCAACATTACAATCACTTCGTTGTCTGCAGCGGCTTCCACGCTGGACAGGAAAGTAGAGGGATTCTCAGCAGGGCATAGAGAAAACATTAACAGCATTTAAAACCTTCGTGGTAGCCAGGAAAAAAAAGTAATTCCTATCTTCAGATTTTCTTATCAGAAAGTTTAAATATCTCCAAGATTTTTGTTTACTGTGTTTAACATTTCTGCTTCTTAAGTCATATAGGCTTAGAGCTGCTGCCCAAATGTTTGGCTGATCTCTGGAAGCTGCAGGGTAAATAGCAGCTGAGGTTTGGTCCTGGTGCTAAGGAAAATGGTCCTGATTCTTGGAAATGCAAAGCAGAGTTTCTGTTGTGATACTCCTTGGATTCAGGAACAAGTACTTTGTTTTCAAGCAATGCCTCATGGGGAAACATGGACGGGAAAAGCCAGAATTAAGATCAAACTTAAACAAGATGCAGACAAAGCATCAGAGAGGTTGATGTTGGAAGGGGCTGCAAAACGTCATTTAATCTTTTCCCTGCCCAAAACACCATTCACAGCATGTAAAACGTCAGCTGTGGAAGCACTGGAGTTTGGGCAAACCTGATGCTCCTGACCTCTCACACTGACCTTAGTAGCCTTCCACTGGAGCCTGCTGGATTCAGTTCAGTGTGCCAAACGTGCCCCTGCCCCAGAGGTTCACAGCTCAGAGGACCAGATGCTATTTTAAGTCACACTACTCTAACTCATCAGATGCTATTTTAAGTTGCACTGCCCTAACTCTGGAATTATGCCCGAGGCATTGCTCTGCTCTCTGAGCCAGAGAGTGGATCTGACTGCAGAGATCTTGCTCAAATGCTCATGGCAGCAGCTGGGACACACACAGACACACACACACACAGAGACACGTGTCCCACACGTCTGTGCCCAAATTCGGCTCCCAGAACATCTCAACCCATCACTAGCCACATCTTTGCTTTAGGTACCTCAGGACAGGCCTGCCCATCTTATCTGGCACTGAGTGTAAAGAGTAGTCTCAGGCTCTTTGCACAGACAGCAGCCAAGCTGTGGCTGCTTCCTAGTTTATGTTCCTGCAGAACAATCATGTTTTCCCTAATATCAGGTTCTTACAGAAGACACACTCCTGTCCTCTTCTGTGTATTCATACACAAATATTTCTTCCTTTCTAGCTTTGGCATCCGTACTTTTTTGTTGAAGATGCTGGCAAGCAGAAAAGCCATTTTTCCCCTTGAATCACATCCAGCAGTGGTAGAATGTGCCATAGTTCACTGCCAGCTGTAGTACTGATGATGTTGCTGGGGTAACATCTCTCCCCAACCCTGACACAGCAGCTAATGCAAGTCCATCTTAGTTCCACACCCTCATTCCTTGGCTGTTCCACCACAATTACCAATGTTGATTAATGGGGGCGATACTGAGAACCAGCTTGGCCAGCATAAACTGTCTCCCCTTGGTCACTCAGCCAGGAACTCTTCGGGAGCCCAAGAAATGAAAGCACCCCAATTTTTCAGTCTCAAAATCCTCAAAGAGTTCAATCCACTAATGTTGTAGCTGCCGAATACTAAACTGTTTTTACTGTGGTCTCTTTCTCACCAAGAACCTAAAATCTCTGTGAAGTACAGAGCACAGGGCCTTCTGCCAGTATAAGTCACTGTGATAGAGTTACTCCATCATCTGAAGATCCAGCCCACAGTGAGGGCAACCCATCCACTGCAGAGCAGATGTTTAGTGCCCTTCCATCAGCATTATCTGCTCCCACTGCCACCTAACCCACACCAAGGCAGATCATCACAGGTTTTAGAAAGCTATGTAGAGCAAAGAGCCAGAGCTGTCAGGCTCTGTCCAGAGTGCTTTCCTCTCCCTTTTAGGCAAAAAATCCACTAGCTCTGATCCTTGAGCAGTGCAAGAAGTGTAGAGCAGAGCTGCCTTGATTCCTCCCAGCCGCACAGAGAGACTTGTCCTCCCGTGCTCTGGGAAACATCCTGTGTATTGCCTGGATACATTTCAGTGAAATCTGTCTTGTTTTGCCACTGATCTTCCATTTATTCTGATGCCATTTACCAAGTCTTGTGTTCCCTTGATAACCAGATACCTGACATAACTTTGGAGATATTCTTTTCCCCAGCACTCGGTTGAGTTAAAGGAATGACTTTTCCCTCACACAGACAGGAGGAAGGAGCCAGAAAAATAGGCAAAAAATCCATTTATTCCCACATTTTTCTCACTTTATTTCCATTTCTTCTCCTTGGAGTAAAATTCACACTTTTTGCTTTGCTTACCATGATCTCAGCATCACTCTTCAGAGACTCCAAATAC